CATACATACATACATACATACATACATACATACATACATACATACATACATACATACATACATACATACATACATACATACATACATACATACATACATACAGACATACATACATACATACATACATACATACATACATACATACATACATACATACATACATACATACATACATACATACATACATACATACATACATACATACATACATACATACATACATACATACATACATACATACATACATACATACATACATACATACATACATACATACATACATACATACATACATACATACATACATACATACAATACATACATACATACATACATACATACATACATACATACATACATACATACATACAACATACATACATACACTACATACATACATACATACATACATACATACATACATACATACATACATACATACATAAATACATACATACATACATACATACATACATACATACATACATTACATACATACATACATACATACATACATACATACATACATACATACATACATACATACATACATACATAACATACATACATACATACATACATACATACATACTGACATACATACATACATACATACATACATACATACATACATACATACATACATACATACATACATACATACATACATACATACATACATACATACATACATACATACATACATACATACATACATAATTCATACATACATACATACATACATACAGACATACAGCATACATACATACATACATACATACATACATACATACATACATACATACATACATACATACATACATACATACATACATACATACATACATACATACATACATAACATACATACATACATACATACATACATACATACATACATACATACATACCATACATACATACATACATACATACATACATACATACATACATACATAACATACATACATACATACATACATACATACATACATACATACATAATACAGACATACATACATACATACACTACATACATACATACATACACATACATACATACAACATACATACATACATACATACATATACATACATACATACTACAGTACATACATACATACATACATACATACATACATACATACATACATACATACATACATACATACATACATACATACATACATACATACATACATACATACATACATACATACATACATACATACATACATACATACATACATACATACATACATACATACATACATACATACATACATACATACATACATACATACATAAGTACATACATATGCTGGGGCTGACAGTAAGAAAAATACAACAAAAAAGACAAACATGCAGACACAGACGGCCAGAAAACAAACAAGCAGACAAAGACTGCTAAAAAAAAAAAAAAAAATAAAAAAACTCAAGCGGACACAAACCCACAGAAGACATACAAGCAGACACAAACTGACAGAAGACAAACAAGCAAAGACAGACCCACAGAAGGTAAACAAGCAGACAAAGACTGCCAAAAGAAACTCAAGCAGACACAAACCCACAGAAGACATACAAGCAGACACAAACCAACAGAAGACATACAAGCAGACACAAACTGACAGAAGACAAACAAGCAGACACAAACTGACAGGAGACAAGCAAGCAGACACAGACCCACAGAAGGCAAGCAAGCAGACACAGACCCACAGAAGGCAAACAAGCAGACACAGACTGACAGATTTCAAAAAAGCAGATACGGTCGGACAAAAGACATTTAAGCAGACACACACTGACAGAAGACAAACAAGCAGACACAGATCGACAGAAAAATGGGCAAATATAGTAACATATAAACTGTCCGTCAGTCAGACAGACAGGTATCTGGACGAAGAGAATTGTACACCCAGACGGTCAGAAGAAGGAAATACAGACAGACTTCTGGGGCAGACAGGAAAGGTTTGACTGGTAAACAGACAGTTAAACAAACAGACAGTCAAATACTTAGACACGCATGCAGTCACAGATACACAGAATAAGAATTACAGAAGCAGACTGACAGAGACGATCACATAGACTGGCATATAAGTGACTGACATACAGACAAGCTCATTGCCCAGAGGACAGACAACCAGCCAAATATTCATCAGACAGAGAATGACGGATAGACGCATACTAACGACCGGCATACTATATAAGACAAATAGACAAGATCACCATCCAGAGAACAGTCAGACACTACATAGAGGACAGATACACAGAAAGAGAGATATTAATCATACAGAGAGTCACAGACAGATGGATAGGCCGACAAAGACGGCCATAAAGACAAACACACTAGAGAAGATAGATGTACATGCTCACTACCTCGAGGACAAACAAAACAACGTCCAGAAAAACAGATGCTATAAAAGACAGACTGAACCCCTATCCAGGGCATAGACACTACCTAGAGGACAGGTACACAGAAAGACAAATGTTAATCAGACAGAGGGTCACATATAGATGGATATGCCAAGAAAGACGGCCAGAAAGAGACATATATTATAGAATACAGAGGGATAAATAGACCTCGAAGACAAACAAACGCCCAGAGAAAAGACAGTCAATAACCAACCACCAATAACTGCTCCCCCGTTCAAACATTTCCAGCTTCGGGCAGATCCCAACGCAGCGGCGGAACTAATGTACCAGCAGATGCACAGAATGAGCATGAAGGCCGACGCTAAGGTGAAACATCGCCAGCCGGAAGAGTTCGGCTTTTCGGAGATGTCCCAGTCTGTAAGTGACGCCCCTGAATTGCCTTCTTACTAGGACAAGTAATGCCCCACATTAATTTAGTTTTACTTGGCAATTTTACATTCAGTAGTTTGGCACTGCCATGAAGGGTCGGCTCTCGAAACTTCTGTTGAAATCAAGGCAAAACGGTCTGCTGCGGTATCTCCCGCAGCTGCAATCGAACCGGGTATCTCAGAAATACGAAGCGCGTTCGCAACGCCTGAGCCACAGATGCCAAATGAATGTCTTTTACCCAGCATAGTTTTTTTTTGTTTGTATAATGTCTGTCAACTTCTATGACCCAATGTCTATGTCTATGTCTATGTCTGCCTTGCCTGGGTCGTTTAGTCCTGGTTATAAAGCTTTTTCTTTACAACGTGAAAAACATTCCCAGGTCCCTCACGCAATTTCATGAAGCTATAACTCTCTGAACCGAGAGACCAGTGGTGCTCCTATCGACTGCACAACTTCCTACATAGGAAATACTTTCAGAAAGTAATGCCTTAAATTACTGTTTTCACGTAATACCTGTGCAGTATGTATGAAATTCGCTGACAATATAACCTATATTTTTTATCTACGCAAACGCGAAACCAGGGAATGTACGCCTCACGTGAATTAGGTTTAGTCATGGTTATCTTCTTCAGCGATCTCTGGTCATGCGCATAATCCACTGTGGGTCATAAACTGTGATGTCTTTTCAAGGTCTCTTAGGTTTCTCCAAAGCTTAGTTGTCAGTTCTACTTGGTGTTGCCATATGTCGCTCCGCAGCTCCGCCAGGAGAGGACAGTCTTGCAGTACATGTTCTGGAGTCTGTTCAGCATGAAGACACTGGCAGAGAGCTGTTTGGCTCATACCTAATTTATGTGAGTGTTTATTGAGTCTGCAGTGTCCAGTGCGTAAGCGAAAAACTGTGACTTGGTCTGTTCTGTTCAAGTGTTTCAGAAAATCTTTTCCGTAGTTATAACCAGTGTTGGTTTTCCAATCTGTTTCTGATTTTCTCTTAATAGAAAGCTGGTTAGAAAGCTATGTGATGTTCGTTGTCCCCTTGCGGAACGCCATTTTTGGTTAATTTGGAGCCCTCTCCCGGATGGTGTTGGGATCCCTAATATAACCTAAAGGTTAAACGGGGTATCCAGGACATCTCCACGGGTGATCCTCGTCCGCATGGTGGCACTTTGTGTCACCGGGTGTTTATCGCTCTGTGTTATGTCCTGGTGGGGTACAACTTACTTACTTACTTATTTAGAAAGCTTGTTCATTACCACGGAATGTCAGTAGTGCTGTGATGTCGGTTCTTGAATCAAATCAAATCAAATCAATCAACCTACTGTCCATATCGACATTTCACCAGCCACTGCAGATATAGCAAGTCTGTCGGCTCTTTCATTTCCTCTCACTCCTGGTGTTTCGACGTGTACAGCCGAGATAGTTTCTTGAGGTGAGTCTTCTGAACAAGGTCAACTCTTTCTAGTCGGAGTTTGACAGTTTGGATCGTCTTAAACATGATTGGGTGTCGCCGTGGCGTAGCGGCTAGACGCTTGCGTGCGGATCGGAAGGTTGTTGGTTCGCTTCCTGGCGGAGCCGGAATGTTTTCAAAAATAGTCTTGATTTCCAAGTCGACCCAGCCTTGAGTGGGTACCGGATGCAGTCCCAGGAGGTAAAGGCGATCGGTGTGATGCTGACTACATCACCCATCTTGTGCCGACTAGTCTATAAAAAATATAGATCTAGCCCTATATGCCCTATAGCCTAAAGACAAGGAAACGGACCTTTTCTTTTTTTAAACTTTTATTTACATTTTCAGGACATTTCACTTGATTCTCCTTCTTCAGAATTTCCGAGTCTTGAAGTTCAGATATCACCAGCCTCCATTCATTTTTCTGTTAAATCTTTTTTTTTCCAACATTCAATGTGTTTGTAGGTCTGTGTATATATACATATATATTGTAAAGAAGTCGTTTTCCCTCATGTTATAAAAACGTTCCTATAAAAAAGTGTCTCCCTTATTTTCTTGGGTCTCTCTCTCTTTCTCTCTCTCTCTCTCTCTCTCTCTCTCTCTCTCTCTCTCTCTCTCTCTCTCTCTCTCTCTCTCTCTCGTACTCGCTTCCACTCTTACATTTGACCGAGATCGTTGTCCATGGGCCACTAATGTAGAAAAGACGAGGCAGATTATCTTTAATTAACGATGACACTACTCCAGTTGATAGTCGACGATGACTAGTTACAGGTTTATTCATCTATAACACACAGCAAGAATCAATATGACAATCCAACTTACGCTATCCAGGCAAGGATCATATATTAATATATATAAAATATCTCTACAACTGACTTGGTTCGCCTCTTGGTCTGCTCTCATTAATTCTTTTGCGTATGCAGTTTTTGTCTCTCTGTTGTCATTCTCTGTATACGCCCAATCTACTACTACAGTCACACTCACCCCACCCACTCTGGACTACAGGGTACTTTGTAAACGCTTTGTTGTAGCCCCAATATGTGCTTTATGGCTATATAAATACGTCTGGTCTTTATGACTTATACACTTAAAGGCTTGGAAAAGGATCTGGGGAAAAAAGACGGCGGAGGAGGGAGAGTACCCACCCCCCCCCCCCCCCCAAAAAAAAACATCGCATTATGTCAGCCTTTTTCTTACAAGTAATTAGGTGGTGATTTAAACAGATGAATTTCTTGATGCCGTTCACTCTCCATTCCTCGTTGTTTGCAATGTGCTGTACTCCAGGTCTCAAATCCTTATAGGACAACTGAACGATTCCGTGTTTTTATTATAGATTGTGACCTTGCTGCTACCAGATAAGGCAACGGTTCTTAACCGATGGTTGGCGACCCTTTTGGAGGCCGAACGATTCTTTCACGGGGGTCGCCTAAGGCCATCGGAAAACACATATTCACTGAAGATATGAAGTACCAACGAAAATTGTTGTGTAGTTGGGGGTCACCACAACATGAGGAAATGGGTTACTTTAACGAAAATCTCCCCACGTTATACACTAGCTCACCTCCGATTGGTCGACCTCCAGTCACCCGACCTTTGCACACTGCTGGGGGAAAAAGGGGGGGGGGGGTATTCGGCAATGCGTTAACATCGCATGGTGTATTTAAGAACATCAGCGCTTTTAACACCACAAAAACATTTAGAAACTGGGTCTAATCCACAACCCACCTAGAGAGTGCTGCAACCTATGTCACAGGCGTTCTCTTTTTTGAAGAAAAACGAAAATGCAAGCCAGAAAGCAAACAACAAAGCCGTAACCCCCCGGACAGCAGACCAATCTAAAAAATATATTACTGGAACGTGACCTAGTTCGACTGGGGAGATTATCGTGGATCTCATCAAGAAATTATTAAAGGGTCACGGCGTTAGAAAAGTGAGAACCGCTGAGATAGAGCATTCGATATCTACAGACAAGATCTTCGCAAATCTCCATCTCCACCGTGTCCGAGAGGCCAGCGTTCTCCACGAAAACGTACAGCATCTTCAGTGCAGACGAGGACGTGATCGTCGACCCTAGATGTCTGATTGAAGACGACCTGTGGGAGGACGCTTACTTGAAACACACCAAGGAGCAAGCACTGTCGCTCATTGACAGGTGTGCGAGTGCGTGGTGTCAGCATGTGGTGGGAGTGTGAGCGTGTGTGTATGAGTGACTGTCAGAGTGTGTGACTGTGTGAAGTCAGTGGCTCAGTTCCACCATAATTTCCCCACCGACTGCCCTTATACTCTCTAGCTCACTTCTGATTGGTCGACCTTCAGTCACCTGACCTATGCACACTGCTACGGGGGTGTTCGGCAATGCCGTTGATATCGCATGTTGTATTTTTGAGCACGCCTGTGCTTTTAACACTACACAAACATTTAGTAACTGGGTCTAACACACAACCACCCTAGAGAGTGCTGCAACCTATGTTACAGACATTCTTTTTTGCGGAAGAAAAACGTAAAAGCTAGACAAACGAGAAAGGAAACAACATAGGGGCAACCCGTAACCCCCCGGACAGCAGACAAGTCTAAAAATTTATGAATGAAACGTGCCCTATTTTGTTTGGGAAGATTATCGTGGAACTGACCGAGTGAGTGTAAGTGTGAACTGAGTGTGTGTTCATGTTTTAGCGCAGTAGTCTTCAACTTTTTTTCAACTGACCCCCAGCCCCCACCCCCTTTCCCACCCCTCAGTATTTGAATATTTGGCGAGACAGCTCCCGCCCCATCCCAGCTTAACGAAATGTCATTAAAGAGAAGATGACAAAAAGAAGAATCCCAAGTATTATTAATGTGATGAGGTGCTTTGCATGGTCTCCACAAGAACATTGCGGCAAGCAGAAAGTATGTGCTACAAGTGACGGCACGAGATACTTGTGGCTAGTCGAGTAAGCGAGGGAAAGCCTGAGCTTGCCTCGTGGTCAGTTGGTTACTAGAAGTCGTAGAAGTCTGTAGTGTTAATAGAAGATGTAGTTCTTATGTCGTGCGAATGACTAGTGGTTAAATATGTGGCAAGCGATGGAAGTGTCAATAATTGTTGGAGCATGTTGAATAAATGTAACGGAATAAACTGATAGCATGTACAAGGAAGCTGAGCGGCGTTGTGTTATCAATCCTAGACGTTAGAGCAGTGCAAATTAATCATCCAGAGAGTGAGCCATGGCGAGAGCAGATATGTCGTAAGCCAAGGTACATTTCAAGTGCCGTTGCAAAGCCAAGACTCATTCCAATTAACATAAACCTTGGGGACAAACACGCACATAATTCAGTCTCAAAAAACAAAAGACAAAAGAAATCAAACACGCACATAATTCAGTCTCAAAAAAAAAAAAAAGAAATCATCACCAGCAACTGGTGATTTAGTTTCCAGATACTAATGGGATTGTTGATACTGTTTTGTCTGAATGTTGACACTGTTTTGTCTGAATGTTGACACTGTTTTGTCTGATTGTTGACACTGTTTTGTCTGAATGTTGACACTGTTTTGTCTGATTGTTGACACTGTTTTGTCTGAATGTTGACACTGTTTTATCTGATTGTAGACACTGTTTTGTCTGGGTGATATGTGCTATTTTTTTTATCTGATGTTGGACAAAGAACAACTAAGATCACTCCCCACATCAAGCTCGTTGTCATGGCTGTCAAGGTTGGCAATCCTGATTATTAAAACACAGTATAACTCATTTTCAAAATTTCTTGACGTTCTCCCTTGAAACTTCCTGACACCCCCTCAGGGTAGCACCCCCAACCTCACCCCATCAGGGTAGCACCCCCAACCTCACCCCCTCAGGGTAGCACCTCCAACCTCACCCCCTCAGGGTAGCACCCCCAACCTCACCCCCTTCCCACACCCCCCAACCTCACCCCCTCTCCACACTCCTCAACCCACATCACTACCCATTTTTTCCAGGATGGAGATAACTGTTAGTGTGTAAGTGCGCGTGTGTAAGTGCACTTGTGTGTGTGTGTCAGTGTGTGGGGTGTGTGGGGGGGGTGGTCTTGGTGTGTGTTTGCGTGTGTGTGTTGAGGGAAGAAAGGCACGAGAGGTTGTCGCAAGTTGTTGTTGCACATCTTCACATTGGGATTCAGATGGAGGGGTGAGGCAAGGGCAATGATATGCCATGGGTAAGGCACTGTTATTTATTTTTCGTCTTGGTCTTCTTCTTCTCGTTTCCTCTTCCTCTTCTTATTCATTTCCCTTTTCTAGTTCTCTTTCTCTGCTTGTTTCTTTTCCTCTTCTTATTCGTATTCCTCTTCTGGTTCTTTTTTCTCCACTCGTTCCTATTCCTTATCTCTTGGCTGTTTTTCTTTTCACTCCTTTTTCTCTTCTCATTCCTAGGTCTCTTTCCCTTCCCTTATTACGTCTAGATTCCCCCCTCCCCTACCTCCCCCAACCACTGAATGGGAAGATGCAGAGAAACAAAAACAAAACGGAACAAAAAGACCACTTAATACCTTATATTTTATTATTATACTTCTCATTTTCCGTTCTCTTCCCCTTCCTATTACACTTGTAGTTCCCCTCGAACGGGAAGACGAAGACAAACAAACAAACAAAGAAAAAAAAAAAAAAAACAAGAAGACCACTCAATACATTATTTATTATTATTATTATTATTATTATTATTATTATTATACACTCAATTAAATCTTACTCCATCTGAGGCTCCCTCCCCTCCCCCGGTCTAATGCTTCTCTTCCCCCCCCCCTCCCCACTGCAAATATTTTCTTTGTCACTATGCCACCTGATGAAGATCAGTCAGCAGGTCCTCTACAGAAGGCTCGCTCTCGTCATGGCCCTCCTGAAGCTCTGTAGTCTAGCCAATTCTCCAGCCCTATGTGCTTTCACAAGCAATGTATCTTCACAGCCTGAATATTATGGTTTTAATCCACAGATCTCGGGATGTAGGTGATGCCCGCAGGATAACGGCCATCATTAAGTATAAAGAGAAAATCATTTACATGATGAAACCAGTGAACATTGCGAATACACCCGACTCAGCGCTCAAAGTTCAGTGGAGGATATCGCGCTACTTATTAGCTCCTAGCTTCTTCATGGTGTTCTCTATGTTAAACAGGTTTGATACTGATCCTGATTTCAGAATCGATACCACAGCCACCCGGCATACCCATAGATGCTTCGTCTCCTGCAGCAACTGTCTTATGCAGGGATATTCAGTCTAAATTGATCAGGGGCCAAAATGTTTAAAAATTGGGTTAGTTCGACGTTAGTCTCCCCCAGACCCCGCCCATATACACACTAGCTCACTTTTGACTGGTAGTTCCTGAGCCCCGTGGCCTTCGCCCGCTGTTACGGAGGTGTGCAATTCAGTATATCTCGTGTTGATATTTCAGCACGCCAGCGCTTTTAACACTCCGAAAACAGGGAAAAACTGGGTCTAACACCCCTTCCATCCCCCACTTCCCCTTTAGTGAGTGCTGCAACCTATGTCACAAGCATTCTCTTTCTCGGATTGAAAACTTAAATGCAAGACATCGCAGAAACTAAACAAAAAAGCGGGACACACCCATAACCTTCCTGAAAGTCGACCAGCCCAGCAAACTTGTGAAAGTAAAGTGACCTATTCTATTTTGGGAGAGTAACGCCGAGCTAACAGAAAATTTAAATCTTTGCAGGCCAGTGGCCTTGGTCCTAGCATAAACACATCGTTATTACAATGCAACTGGTAGGTGATCCGTGGTCCACTTGCTAGGCCTCTGCGAGCCAGTGGTGGCCCACGGACCGTCAGCTGATAGCCCTGTCTTAAGGTTAAGTAGATGCTGTTTGTTCCTAGTGCACACTGATTATACACACGTCGATCTCTTCCTCTGATGCAGCGGTTCTCAACTATAGGTCGCGACCCTTTTGGGGGTCGAACGAGCTTTTCACAAGTGTCGCGTAAGACCACATGCCTATCTTTACAGGTCGATGAGTAAATTCAAACAGACAGCGAACTTCAAAATAGAGACAACATTACAGACATAGATAATCTATTTTAAGCGAACGAAAGAAGAAGAAGATGCACTCCGATTTCGAAGAAAGCCGTAAATAGACGCCTCTAAAGACATGTTTCCTAGGGACAGTGGGTCCACCCAAACCCACCTACCCACCCCACCCCCATGCCCACCCCCACCCTGCACCACATCAAATCGGGTCCCAGTCATACAGGGAGGTGTCATAAAGGGCCAGTTATAAAGGCAATGAAGACAGCCGTTTTTAGAAAAAACGTTTTTTCCGTTAATGTAAAATATATGTTGCAACAATTGTATACATGCTGAACTCACATGGTTTCTCGTAAACTAGATATTACAGGTATATTGGATATATCCAAAGACGGCTGCTGTAAACTGGATGTTCTGCTTTATTGGATGAACGGTGATTTTACGTATGATATTCAAGTTATATTACATTCACAAGCTTTACCATTACGGCAAACTAGATGTATTAGAAATGAATGATAACGAGTTATTCTAAAATAGATGTTAAAGATCAATTGGAAATCTAAATTAGGCATGACTAATTTATTTTTAAAGTAAACTAGATGATCTATGTTTGATGGGGGCAAACTCTCTTTTACAGGTATGGCCCCGTGGTAGCTCTAATCAAGCGAACGCCCAACTCGGCGCTGTGTGTCTACGAGACCGTCGACCTGGCTGCTCGAGTCTTGCACATGCACGCCCTAAATCAGTCCAACAAGGTGCTTATTCTCTCCTGGTGGCATCACAAATCTTTAAGGTTAGCATAGGGCTCTGTATCTATGATGATCATCATGTGTCTTCAATAAACTCGGGCCTTGGTATTTTGGAATCACTTCCATTGATGTTACATTTCTCCACGCCATCGCTTTAATCTCGTATCTGAAACCATCCGAACTGTAGTTTCCCTTCTCTACGATAGTTTTAAACCTCGTATTATAAGCCCGGTAAACTAATTCATCTTTATGACCGTTTATCCTCGTATTTTAGCCGTGTAACTAGTTAGCCGGTCCGATGTCAGCAAGAGTCTGTCCTATATGTATTCATTATTTCTTGTGTAGTAGAAACCAGTTAGACCACTGCCGGCTTGCTAGGTCCGTCGCGTTGCGATCTTGTGAGAATGCAGCCGGGCCAAACTGCGTTTGAGACTTTTTACAGCGGAACATTTGGGAGGAAGGCGAAAGGAAAACAAAGAAAGAGGTGGATAAATGGGGTAGCCGAAACCTGCAAAACGATGAACAAATCCATCAGCCAAGCCAGCAGAGAAGCACAAGACAAACACAGAAAACTACGACAAGAAAGAAAGAAAAAGAACCAGTTTTGCGTTTTCGCTAGTTTAAACGCCTCTATTTGTAAGCCATGTAAATAAGTTTCTCGTTTATGAAAGTTAAAACTCATTTTCTTTTCGGGTGGGGGGATGCGGTTGGACCGGGGGGGGGGGGGGGGGGGTGTGATCGGCCGTCAGGTCCACCTCAAGTGCTGGAGGTCCCGGGTTCAGGCCGCTGTAAAGGCTAGGATGTGTTCACGTTCATATCTAGTAATTTCCCCTGGTCTCTGGGTAGTAAGACCCGATACCCGTGTGTATTGTTGCGCACGTAAAAAATACCTTGGCAGTTGGAAATTGAAAATAGTATCATAACGGCGCTGCACGGGGAAAAATCTGGAGTCAAAAATCTACCCAAAGTAGTTCAGAATCCTCGCCGATGCTACAGAGTTCGTACACTGTGCTGAGAATCTTTAGCCTCAGGTTTGAGTTAGAAGTAGAAGGGAACACTTATGGGTTACCACCCTTGTGCCGTGATGTTGATCCGTTGTTCAAACCTAACCTCGTATTTCTTCTTCTCTTCTTCTTTTGTCAAAATCTGCTTGTGCCGCTAGGCGTCGCAGTCTATCAGATGATCGGCAACCGAGCCAGGGCGCCCTCAGTCGCTTCATATGCCGTGATGTTATGAAGTCTCAAGTTGTCCGTGACTCCTTCAATCCATCTTCTTCTTGGTCTTCCCCTGCCTCTTGGTGTTTCGATTTTCATACCTCGTATTTGAAGCCGTCTAAACAAGTTTGTCGTAAGGATGATTTAACCTCGTATTTCGAGCCAATTGAACTGTGGTTTTCTGTCTCTACGACAGTTTAACCAATGAGACTTCCACGAACACGGATGAGGCCTCACGCTGGCTGACAGGTGTGTGTGAAGGTATGTTGAAGATGGACGAGCCGATTTTGGGCGGCCTACAAAACCCAAGTGAGTAGTGACCAGTGCCTTTACACTGATTTCATTAGGCACCCATCTCTTTCCTTGACGCTGTGCCTACCAATTTCTTTGACGCTGTACCTACCGATTTCTTTGACGCTGTACCTTCGATTTCCTTGACGCTGTGCCTACCAATTCCTTTGACGCTGTGCTTACCAATTTCCTTGACGCTGTGTCTACCAATTTCCTTGACGCTGTGCCTACCTATTTCCTTGACGCTGTGCTTACCAATTTCCTTGACGCTGTGCTTACCAATTTCCTTGACGCTGTGCCTACCAATTTCCTTGACGCCGTGCCTACCAATTCCCTTGACGCCGTGCCTACAAATTTCCTTGACGCTGTGCCTACCAATTTCCACATAATAATAACAATAATAATAATGCCCCCCCCCCCCCCCCCCACCCCCAATTTAAAAAAAAATTTTATAATTTTTTATAATTTTTAATGAACCGGCAAATACCTAAGAAGAGAGACATACATAGCTAAGGCAGCTACTTAATCCTCTTAACAATTTTCTGCGAGGTGTTTATATCCGTAAAACTAATTGCTATTTCGGAAACTGAAATGCAAGACCATATAAATTATTCAAACCACATTTGCAAAGAGTATAACATGAAAATAAAGAAGGGGAAAAAACAGAGATCATGACTATAGACAGATAAAAAAAAACATCAAAAGGTTAAATGTCTAGCTCACACAGCTCCTGGCACCAATACTAAGAAATAAACATGTTTCAATAGAAACGAAAAAAAACAACAACACTCTAACACAATCCTCTTGTCAATCCTTGGTTACCAACTCCAGGCCTGGACAATGAAAGAAAAGAAAACAGACAAATTACAACAACTGAAATGAGATTCCTGCGGAGAGCTCGTAAAATAACAATAAGAGATAACATCAGATCATGTCGTCAAGGTCGACTAATTTGGCAGCTTCCTTTAAATTTGGAGTGCATCCGCCTGAGAGGCAAAAAGCAACCAAGTGCACACAAATAAACCAGTCAAACAGATGTAGACGCAAAAGCGCATGCCCTAACAGAAAGCCAAAGCCCAGATGGACACACACAAAAACCAAAACTTGTTGCTGGAACTTACAGCCGGTGAACAAAGAACAAGTGTACAAATTTAGAAGAAATGCTGAAAGACTCCTTCTTATTCACTTTCTTTTTCAGTGCTAAATTAATCCTTGCGTCCTTTTAAGGAGGAAATGTTTGTTCTTTGAAGCCCCACCCTATTTTTTGCCAGGGGCCGCAATATAGGCAGGCCATAAATATGCCAATTGTCTGGACGCGGTTTCTGGGACCTCTCCACGGTGATCCTCACCCACATGGTGGCACTTTGTGTCATCGGGTGTTTAACGCTTGTGTGGTGTCCTGGTGGGGTAGAAAGTCAGTCAGTCAGTTTTTCAGTGCTTCGAGTGCCGAGGCAGATATAAGGTTGTGCTTGCTGTTCTGACATTTGCAACCAGAGAAACATCGTACTGTTGTAAACGTTTCTCTGATTGTGTCTTTCCATCTTGTTCTTGGGGAACTAGGCACCTACTGACAGCGGAAATTGGCTTTCTGAGAATAGTACAATGAATGTGCCCGCCTGAGGGCGAGGAACGAACAGTCTGCATAAAAGAAAAACCTAGATCTGTGAACCGAATGTACACACAGAACTCAAGCGTTGAAACAAGACTAAAATCTAGAAGTGGACAAACATCCATAACCTTCTGCCAGATAGTACAGCTAGAGGAACGTTAAAAAGAAAGATAATTCATAGAATGATATAAAAAAGCAACAAACAAACGTGATAGCTCTAATCGAGACAGCTAAAATCTGGGAGCAGAAAAGAAAGATTGTACACAGTCTTAGAAGAATACTCTACTGAAGATAAGAGACCAAGCAAGATATTGTACCCAATTTGAAAAGAAAGGGCTGCTGGAATTACATCAGCCGTGCACTCGGAGAAGACCAAGATGGCACCCTCGGGTGTCGTGAGCGTATGCCAGGGGTGCCGAGGCAGTTTTCAAGAAAAGATGGCTAAGAATAGTAAAATTATTAAAGAAGGCATGTAGATACTTACAAGTTAAAATTTGAGTTTTTTTTCCTCGCCACTGTCAAAAATAGTTTATTTCTTGTTTGAAAACCGCTCTGTTAACGCATCGTCAGCCCAACTCAGTGACGTCAGCAGCAAGTCCCGTCAGCTGGAGCCGTGGTAGAACCATCATCAAGGATGCCTCAGCCATGGGCCTAACAAACATCCAATACCTAAAACGGATGGCAACGAACCCGACACGTAAAAGGAGGAATGCTTCGTCAGTCGGACAGGCACAGTACTGCTCTTTTGATTCAAGAAAATATATAAACCTGATCGAAAAATATATTAGCAAGCTTCACCAAAAAAAAAAAAAAAAATACAAACAAAACGTGAACGTTGCGGCTATTGGGCCTTCATCGGTACACACAAAATAAACAATAGTACACTGATACAAAAAAATCACTTAGATGCGGCCAGGTCGGTTGTTACTCAGCAGACTGACCGCACGTGTCAGCTAAGGGAATAAATACCCCCCTCTTTTGATCCAGCAGCTTCTGTAGCGTGCGTTGTTCCGAACCTACTGATGTTAAATTTCCTTTGGAGTAAACAAATTATGCCCAGTGAGGGATCATGCCCAGTGAGGGATCATGCCCAGTGAGGGATCATGCCCAGTGAGGGATCATGCCCAGTGAGGGATCATGCCCAGTGAGGGATCATGCCCAGTGAGGGATCATGCTGCTCCTCATGTGGGTTTTGGGGCCTTCTTTTGGAGGAAAAAAAATGAATAGACCCACTGCTCCCTAACAACCATGTCGTAAGAGCCGACTTATTAAGGTTTTGCTAAAATTGGATGTGTTGTGTCGTAAGATGCGAATATCATAGCCTAGCTGTAAACGACAACACAGTATGCCAACTGTCCTTTTAAGGGCGAACGCAGAAGGGGAAAAAAAAAAAAAGAAGGATCACGTTGCATAGGCACCACAATACTCTCTACAGTACTGCACTGGCTTTATTGCATAAAGATCTTAAGTTTCTACCCTTCCATAAACGATTACTTTTCAATAAGGCCAAAGTTATTAACAAAATCTTATTTAAAAAAATGCTCCCGATTACCTTTGGCCATTCTTCAAGTATAATGGGCGACTTAGCAAACGCCTAAACATATTACACATCCCTAAACCTAGAATAGACTTGTACAAAACAAGCTTGGCGTACTCTGCAGCTCATCTGTGGAACCAACTTCCACAACCAATCAAAAATATCATCAACCCCTATAAAAAATTTTGAAACTTTTTGAATATAATCTCACTTCAGACTACATAGTTTCCTAAGAATACTGTTGATTTCCACCAAGATGTATTACATTTAATATTATAATTGTTTTAAAATGTAGGTATACTTAGAGTACATTGTTACAAGGATGTTGTTGATGATGCCTATTATTATTATTATTATTATTATTATTATTAGTATATGCTAAAACAATGTGCGCATAAATAGTGTGTGCATGGCCTGAGGCCAGAAGGGCAGAATGTAAGACGGGCCTGTGTGCCCAATTCTTAACCCTTTGAAAATACAAGTTTTGTTCAAGTTTGTTCTATAGCATCCATCCCCCACAAAATAAAACTATCGTCAGGAAAGACGGAATAACAGTTTTGAGAAATGAAACAAAATTACATGGAAAACCGTGTGAGAACTGGGAAGATTGGTCGACGGTTCAGGAAAGATACAGAGATACAGACCTGTATGGCAGATTGGACAAGAGCACTGTTGTGATCCATGATACTGTGATCGTGTTGGGTCGACCAGTCATGTCTGCCTATGCTTATTGAAGGGACATATGATGATGAAGACGATGATAATGCGGAGGAGGATGCCAATGACTGTCTTCAACTTCTGCTTTGCTGAATATTTACGATGACTGTGTCTTCTTGTCTTCAGTTCGGCCATTTTCTCAACATATGCTGGCAAGAAGAAGTTCCATACAGTCTCAACGCCATATGGTACTGGTTCTCTTGAGTTACTTGCTAAATCTGTGTCATACATGTATACTTCTCTTGTATATGTGCATTCTTGTCTTGCATATGTGCATTTGTCTACTTGTCTTCTATGCGTGTCAATCTACTTGTCTTGTGTACAACTATATGTCTAATTGTCTTGTATTTTTGTAAATTTCTACTTGTCTTCTAGGTGTGTCTACTTGTCTTGTTAATGTGTTTATGTCTACTTTTTTTGGTATGTGTATCTGTCTACTTGTTTTGTATATGTGTATATATCTACTTGGCTTGTATGTGTGTCAGTCTACCTGTCTTGTATGTGTAAATGTCTACTTGTCTTCTATGTGTGTATGTCTACTTTTCTTGTGTATGTGTCTTCTTGTCTTGTATATGCCTATGTGTATATGTGTATATATGTCTAGTGGCAAGCTTCACTGGAAAGGTCACGGGTAGTGAGTCTACCTCGGTGAGCTGGTCCGGGTGTCTAGTGGAAAAGAATTTCTCATCCCTTAAAGTCCACAATGCCCGAATTGTCTGCCAGTGTCCCTCTGCCACCTGCTAACAAAGGCCAACATGTGTCCGGTAAACCAATCGTAAGCTTGCCGCTCGGTAGTCCAGATATGCAGACTGCTTTAATTATGCTACCGTGACGACTTCTTATCTCACAGTACCTTCTGCAAAATCACCAGTTCGTCTTGTCCCTGTCCGAAAAACATCCGGTAATTGGTGCAGCAGGGGAAACCAATCCTGAGCTTCATGAACTCAGGTGGGCCCACTCTCTGAAAATGTCTAGAAGCTCGTGGGCTGAAACATTTGCCGACGAGAGGTTAACTTCTACTGATGATTGGTAGACCCCTGCTGTACATGCTCCCCTGTGGAGTTTCTTCTTATTATTGGGTCTTTCTCAAGGCTATGCCGGCGAGGTGGGTAATGAACAAGCAGACAGATTGGCCGGATCTTCACCATTATGTGG